AGGCCAGAATAGGGCACCAGATCTCCTGGAACTGGGGTGATAGGCATTTGTGAGCACCCCCCTGCTGGGTGCTAGGAATTGAACTTGGGTCCTCTTCAGGAACAGAACCTATTCTTGGCTGCTGAGCCATCTCTCCAGCACCTTTTGTGTGTTTTTGAAACAATATCTCACTATTTCCCTAGGCTCGTCTTGAATTCATGGTCTCAAGAGATCCTTATGTCTCAGCTTCCCAAATAGCTTGGCCTACCAGCATGTCCCTGGCTCCCATATGGAAATTCCATGTAATTTTTTTGAGAGTTGCTAATCTGTTCAGTACAGTGGCTGTACCGTTTTATATTCCTCCCAGTAGTATGTGGGGTTCCAGTTTTTCATAACCTCACTAACATTTTGAAGTTTTTTTTTTTTTTTTTTTTTTTTTTTTTTTTTTTTTTTTTTTTGACATGGTCTTATTCTGTAGAACTGACTACGTAGCTGAGGCTACCTTAGGACCTCATGGCCATGATCCAGCCTCAACCTGAAGGCTTGGATTATATATGGGTATGAGCTTTGCCCAGTGCTGCTTATTTTCTTCTTGTATTGCTATCCTAGCAAGTGTGAAATGGTTTTGATTTGTATTTTCTTCATAAGTAATGACACCGAACATCTTTCCATGTGTTTGTCCAAGAGGGTTTTTTTTCTCTTAAATTTCTCTTTTATAGTCTATCTTTCCTTCCTTCCTTTCACCTTTAGCTCTCCTTCCTCAGCCTCCTTAGTGCTTGGGACTATAAACATTGGTCATCATTCCCTGCTTAGCACTATCCTCGTTTAAATTTTTACTGTAGTCTCCTCTAGTCCAGAGCTCACTAAGTATCCAAACTGGCTGCGAAGAAGTGACCTCCCGAGTGTAGGGATAAACAGGTGTCAGCCACCACCACACCCAAATTCTTTTGTTTTTGTTTTTGTGATAGGCCCTAGTCTGTAGACCTGACAGCCCTAAATCTAGCTATCAAGACCAGGCTGGTCTTAAACCAAGAATTCTCAACCTGTGGGTAGTGACCCTCTTGGAGGTTGCATATCAGATATCCTGCATATTAAATATTTGCATTACAATTCATCACAGTAGCAAATTACAGTTGTGATGTAGCAACAGAATAATCTTATGGTTGGGGGTCACCACAGCATGAGGAACTGTATTAAAGGGTCACAGCATCAGAAAGGTTGAGAACCATTTGTTTAGGGCTTAAACTGAAGCAATCATCCTGCCTATGCATCCTAAATGAGGAATTATAGACATGCACCACCACATCAGTGTCTAAATCTTTTATGATTATATACGTTCTTTGCAAATACTTATAATACATATACATTTGCATATATACAAATATAATGATATATTTATAAAATGATATACACTTTAATAACTTTTTTTGCAGATATCAGTTCATTGCTTAATCCAAACACATGTAAGCAGGTAATGACATGCCTTACATGTCTTCTAGCTTATTACTTTGCAGGGGATTTTCCTTGTTTTGACTTATATTACATGATTGGTGTTCCTTAAATGTTCAGTGGCCTTAAGCCATCATATTTCAAAGCTGATTGGCCCTACGGAGCTCATTTGAAGGTCTGTGGCTTAGGTAGTATTTTTCAGCTGTTGACTCAGTGATAGGGAGATCTGGCCAGCTGGACCTGGAGGAACCTTATCAGTCTCTTTAGGCCTTTCTTCCTAGCTACCTAAGCTGTCTAGAGATGAGCTGAGGTCTTGGCTTTCATGATCTTTTGGAAAAGAAACCCAGGAGTCTGTACATTTAATAAGCAAACTTTCACTTAATTCATTCCAGTTTTCAGTAAGGTACCCTGCCTTGCCCTTCGCTGTGCCTAGTTAACTTGGTTTAAGAGATTCCTGCCCCCAGCCCCAGAGACGGTGCAAGGGGCAGTGCTTGCTGTGCCAGTCTGATGACCCGAGTCGCAGTGTGGATCCCCAGAATCCACATACAAATCCAGACATGACGGCGGCACAAGTGCCTGTAATTCTAGCATGCCACTAATACCTTGTCCTAGGAAATGTGAGGTGCAGACAGAAGAACTGCCGGGAGCTGTTGGACCAGCTAGCCTAGTATTCACTTCAGTGAGCAATGAAAGAACTTTTGTTTCAAGCAAGGTGGAAAGTGAGGACCAACCCCTGAGGCTGACCAGTGCGTGTGTTGTGTGTGTGCGTGCCAGCACTCACACACACACATCTTCTGAACAAATGGATTGTTTGTTTGTCTTTTGAGACAGGGTTTCTCTGTGTAGCCCTCACTCTGTAGACCAGGCTAGTCTTGAACTCAGAGATCTGCCTGCCTCTGCCTCAAAGTGCAGGGGATTAAAGGTACTGGCCAGCTTTTTTTTTTTTTTTAAGACACCTTCTTGGACCTCTTTTACCTGGACCCACCATCGTGGCCACATTCCTACCAAAACTGTGATGAAAGTTGTAGAGCTTATTGAGAAGTGCTCCACATGCCAGCAGGGATTTCCACACCCAAGTGTGTGTGCCCAGATCACTACCATTCCCTGCAAGAAGCTGCACAAGAGGCTGGCAGCTGTGCTACACATAAACAGATTGAGAGAGGCCCTGTAGAGGTTCCTCCATTGAGCTGCAGGAGCAGGAGAGAATGGAGAGAATTCTGTTCCTGAGGCCTCAGCCCCACATCATGGAGGTAGACCCTGACACTAGGGGAAAGGGAAGACCTTGACAGTCCCTCCAACCTGCAGGCCATTCAGCTTGCACTGGAGATGAATTTGAAAATACCATGTGGAGCATCTGAGTCTTTTCTGTTGTGCTGTAATATCTTCAGTAAACCTGGGGATAGCATATGTATGCTCAAGCATGTATATGAGCAGGCATGTGCACAAACACACACACACACACACACACACACACACACACACACACACACACACACTACAACTCATCTTGAGGCCTGGGGTATGGGAGGGGACCCAGGGATCCTTTGGTACTTCTTCAAAGCTTTCAATAGATCCTCTTGTTTTTTCTTGTGGTCACCCCTACTTGTAGACATTTTTTGGTGCTCCTGAGCCTTTTGTTCTGGTATCTAATCTGGGTTGCATTTCAGCATTTCCCACTGCCAGCTTGGAGCGTTGTTCTCCTAGATGTGCTGGATCAGTTACTGCATGCACACTGTCTTCCACCTTCCAGTATTTTGTTGCCAGTGTCTCCTTTCCCATTCTTTGTCTCTGTGGTTTTATGCCCTTTGAAAAGGAGACCCTAGAACAGTCACTTCAGTAGGATTTTTAAGAGGGAGTAGAGTTTGTCTTCAATTTTAAAAAAAAGCCATTACATGTATTCTTAGGGTGGCAGGACTCTGGTGCATGCTTTTGGAGGTCAGAGGACAACTTACAAGAATTGGTTCTATCCTTCACCATGTGGGTCACAGGAACTAAACAAAAGTGGTCAGGTTTGGTAGCAAGCACCTTCACCCACTGATTCTCCTCAAAATCCCTGTCCTCAATTCTTAGCATATTCCCTCCCCCAAAAAATATTTGGCAAGTCAAGTAATTGAAGTATTGAAGCTGTTGTCCTTTCATCTTTGGAAAAAGTTTGAACCCGTGTTCTACCACTGGTTATTTGTGTGCTCTTGGACAAGCCACTTCCACCCTGGTACTTCTGTCCCTGCTCGTGTAAAATAGTAATGATTATAACACCTCATCCAAATGCCGTCCCCAGGGCCCCAGAGCAGAGGAAGCTCTGTGTTCAGAGTGCTGAAAGGTTCAATGTCAAAGTGACAATTCTTAGAAAGTCAGTGTTTTACTTAAGCTTAAAATTAGTCTTCACACTTGAATGACAAATTGGTCTATAATTAATGCCTCCAGGGCAAAATTCGAGTTTCACCTACCTTGATGCTTAGAAGTAGCAAAACCCTTCTCAGCCAAGAAAGGAAACTAATATTAGTTGCTAAGGGCCTACTGTGTGCTCATACCCCTTCTATGCCAAGCCACCAGATCCTAAATTGACACAGGTTGCGTGGATTCTGCAGGCTCCATTAGCCCTGACTTCTCACTCCTGCATGCTGTACCTCTGGCATAGAATTAACTTGTCTCAGGGTGCCCTCTGTGGGAACTCACACACTTATACTTTGCTGTGTGTTACACAGATGCAGTCAAGTCCATCTTGGACCAGGCACTGTACCTGGTACTGGCTGGAGACATAGCTGATCTTTACTATATTTACTTATTTAGTGTGTGTAAGGGGTGTGCATATGGAGGTCAGGGGCCAACTTAAGAGACTAGGTTCTTTGCTCTTGCCATGTGGGTCCCCGGGATCGGACTTAGGTCATTAAGCTTGGCGGCCAGTTCTTTTACCCATCTCTTATCATCCAGCATAGCCTATCTCTCTTTTTAAGATTTATATGTGTGTGTGTGTGTGTGTGTGTGTGTGTGTGTGTGTGTGTGTGTGTGTGTGTCTGGAAGGATATGTGAATGCAGGTGCCTGTCGAGGCCAGAAGAGGGTGTCAGACACTGTGAGCGACAGGAACACTCTTAACCTAACCACCTCTCCAGTCCCAAGCATAGTTTTCACCGGGAAGTCCCCCAGAATACCTGCATAAGATCCTACTTTCTTTAAAGCAGACTCTGAGGCTGCGGACGAAGAAAGCAGCTCCGCAATTCCTTGGTCAAACTCCATCCTCTCCACCATTTTTTCCTCTTTTGCGCCACCGATCCCTTCCCAGCAGCGGACGACCAGGGGAGTCCAGGCCGGATGCCCAGCAGGTGAGGGCGTGGTGGGGGCGTGACCAAGGCCCACCGGTCCCGCCCCAGCCTGCAACGCCCCTCCTCTCCTGGACGACCCCCGCCCCCAGCCCTCAGCGCCCCGCCCCTCCCCGCGCCGGCCGCAGTCTCCGCCCCCTCCGGGCCGGCGCGCGGCTCCCGCCTCCTTCCCTCGGCGCCCGCTCCCGCCTCCCTCCCTTTCCGCTGCCGAGGCGGCGGGAGCCGAGCCCCAGCGGACCGAGCCGCGACCGCAGCGGGCGGCGGGCGCAGAGGCGGCGGCGGCGGGGTGGTCAGGCGACGGCGATGCGGCGGCCGCGCTGAGCCCGCCCGCTCCTGGCGCTGGGGGAACCGGCCGCGCGGACGGCAGCATGCGGGGCGGCGAGGAGCTGGACGGCTTCGAGGGCGAGGCCTCGAGCACCTCCATGATCTCGGGCGCCAGCAGCCCGTACCAGCCCACCACCGAACCGGTGAGCCAGCGCCGCGGGCTGGCCGGCCTGCGCTGCGACCCCGACTACCTGCGCGGCGCGCTCGGCCGCCTCAAGGTCGCCCAAGTGGTAGGTGTCGGGCGAGGCTCCAGGTACGGGCGGGCGGGTCGGCGGCCTAGCCTGCGCCTTCCTCCCCCCCACCCCACCCCCCGCACCCCGCCGCGGGGGGCAGGCCCGGTGGGCCAGAACCAGGTCCGGGCTGCGCGGCCCCGGCCCCGCGCACCCCATACTCCAAGGTCTTCGGGCTGCGGGCTGCGGTCCCTGCTCCTCTGGGGACCGCGCCCTCGGCAGGAGCCTGTCTTCTGCAGCTCCGAAGCTTCGGGGGTTCCTGGTATCTGCACACCTGCACCGGGGCCTACCTGTGCCCTCCCTGCTTCGTCGACGAGCTTGGTGCGCGGAGCTGGCTGGTTATGAGGGCCGTGCCACCGCCTGGCTACTACTGTAGCAGCTTAGCAACTTGTGGCAGGTTTTCCGGTTCGTGTAACCCCAGACGGCTCTGTGCTAACAGAGAGGCCGGGGGCTGTGGCACGGTTTCCTCCCTGGCGCCTAGCAGGGTGCCCAGCAGATGGTGGACGCTCAATAAATATTTGTTGAATGGAGGCATGTAACCCAGATGCAGTGGGGGAGTCCAGATCTTCCCATAAAGCCTCCAGTCTTTACAGCGGACGTTTGATCCCTCCTTAGCATCCCGTAGTCCTCCACTCAGCACTGGTTGGGACTGCCCAATTGGTACCCAGAGTTAAGTCACTCTGGTAGGGCGGCCAGTATGGGTGGTGACAGATACGAGGAACTTTCTGTTGGACTGAGGCATACTAGACCACATTTCTCAGAGTTCTCTTATTTTTATTTTATTTAATTTTTTTTAGCCTCCAGAGTGTTTGGTTCAGGGGCTTGTGGGTTCTGGTTCTGTTTTGTGGTTTTGTAGCAGGTCTGACTGGGTTTTGGTTTATCTCTGTTGTGACCAGGGTATGGTCCAGTTTAGAAAAACCTCTGTATCCCTCCTACTCACTGTCACTGGTAGCCTTCCACTGAGGCCTCAAAACTTTATAGACTTCTCAGCCAGACAGAGAAGGCATTTGCACAGAACTATAAAATACGGGCATTTTCTTTCAGGGAGCATTGGCCCTGTTGTTCTTAGCTGAGTGCATGCATTAGCCTTTTTTGGGAGAACTACCGTATGTGGACACCCTTTAAATAAAGGTCCCAGTGTTTGTAGGTTGCAGAATCATAGAGGGTTTTCTCTCTTTTGTGTGGAAGGCTTGGTCTTCTATTTTTTTTTAAGATTTGTTTACTTATTATATATACAATTTTCTGCCTGCATGTATGTCTGCATACCAGATCTCATTACAGATGGTTGTGAGCCACCATGTGGTTGGGGGGAATTGAACTCAGGACCTCCGGAAGAGCAGCCAGTGCTCTTAACCTCTGAGTCATCTCTCCAGCCCGGCTTGGTCTTCTGATTCATAGTTTTGAAGGACTTTAATGAGAAATAAGTGGAGCAAGTTATCTATCTTTAAATTTTTTAAATCAATCTTAATCCAGTAATTAGGAATGTTCTCAAGGATGTTTTGCTTCTGTGTTAGATATTGCTGTTGGCAAAGAGAATATAGGTGTGAGGGTGTATGTAATCCTGATTAAAACAGGCAGCTAACTAGCTAATAATGGTTGGATACAGTACAGATAATCAGAAGTGAGTTTAAAAAAAAGGGCAGGGCTGAACTTGGAGCCAGGTGGACTGCAAGGCCTAGTCAAGGACCTTGCTTAGTTTACTCACTAGGCCTCTGAAAGTAAATAGAATTTGCCTCTGGTGAACTCTTGCCCCTCAGAACTGAGATGGAGTGGTTTGTACGGAACGGTGGTTATCGGTTCACTGCCGGACTTTGCCGTCTCCTTGAGCTGGAGCAGGAGCTGGAGCAGGAGCTGGAGCAGCAGCTGGAGCAGGAGCTGGAGCCAGTGGTGTTTACCCCTCTGGAAAGGTGGTTGTGCGGTAGAATTTGCTTTTCACGTGGAAGGGTTAACATCTCTCTTAACTGCCATGTGTCTACTCCGAAGATTCTGCACTGGCAAGTGAAAGAAAGGCCACTTGAATGATATGGTAGTTTGATGGTCTTGTGCCCTTGGCTTCTGAGCCTTGCTAAATGTTAGGGCTTCCTGGGTGATCCACCTTCCCTCAAAATAAATGAAAACAAAACAAAAAAACTCCAAGAAATTAAACTTTAAATTTAAACTGGAAAAATAAATAAGAAAATACTAATTCCTTTAATTCAGTAAAATTTGGTTTTTAAAAGTCTTAGTATATTGCCGGGCATGGTGGCACACCCCTTTAATCCCAGCAGAGGCAGATAGATCTCTGAGAGTTAGAGGCCAGCCTGGTCTACAAAGTGAGTTCCAGGAAAGCCAGGGCTGTTACTAAGAGAAACATTGTCTTAAAAAAAAAAAAAAAGTCTTAGCATTTATAAACATTGTGATGTGAGGCCTAAGGAAACCTGTGGATCTTTGCTTTTCCCACACTGGATCCAGCATTACTACCACCCTACGCCTCTGCAGAATCAGCTAGTTCAGACCTTCTGAAACTTAATTTTTAACGGGATTCCCCAGGTGATGATCTGTTTGCAATGTTATTGTAGTGTTAGAAACCTCACCCAGGAAGCTAGAGAGATGGCTTGCTAATTAAGATCCATTGCCATTCTTCTAGAGGGCTTGGGTTTAGTTCCCAGCACTCAGGTCTGGTGGCTCACAGCTGCTTGTAACTCTAGCTCTGGGGGATCTGATGCCATCTGGCCTCAGTGCCACATAAGTGACATATACTCACACAGACACTCATACACATAAATACAAATTTTCAAATACTTCCAAAAAATGTAGAAAACCTTTAGACGGGTGTTAGCAGTTGTCTCTGTCGTAACCAGAAGAGTACTTCCCTTAAATCTCTAAACCCTGCCCCACCCCTTTCTTTAGTAAGAGAATATGAGGGAAAAATGACTAATTGAGCATTTTAGGAATTGTAAGAATTAAGGAGTTAAAGTAACCTAAGGTGCTTTCTTAGCTGACTCAGAGGCAAATCTGAGTATTTGCATTTCAGGGTTGGGTATTGTAAAATCTTTTACTTGATGGGCAGCATTGTCAATGTGTAACCCCAAGCCAGTCGACACAGTCAGTGATTGTTTTATTGTACTCTTGAGATGTGTGGGATGTGATGGTAAAACAGACAAAACCAAACCTGGATTTTCACTGAGGCCCAGTGGAAACATAAAGAAACTGTATGTAGCAGAGAGCAGCTACATTGACGTAGCTTCAACTCCGATCAACACTGGCTGCAGCTACTGTGCGAGCTTATCAGTCCCAGATCCCACAGTTACCATATGTAGAAAGTCTGGGCCAATTGAGGTTTAATTGGGACACACCTGGGTGTCCTCTCTTTTGGAGAGCTGGTCTAAAGACCAGGCTGCAGGGCTCGGGAGATACCTGTCAGTAAAGTGCTGGCCTCACAGGCCTGAGGACCTGTGTTTAATCCTTCAAGCCCATGTAAAAAACTGAGTATGGGGGCTTGTGCTTGTAACCTGAGCACTGGGAAGGCAGAGACAGGCAAATCTCTGGAGCCTGCTGGTCAGTCAGCTTAGTTTAATTAGCAAGCCCCGGCTCTCAATGAACGTTCATGAGGAGATAAGAGGTAAGAGTATGACTGTGGGCTCCAGGGATGGAATGCATATTCAGGTGACAAGCACCTTTACCCACTGACCCATCTCACCGACTCCAGAATCCACCCTTTCTGATAAATGTTGTCAACAAACGTGAAAGAAAAGGGAACTTCATCCTGGAAAAGATGGACTATGAAAACTCTGTAGCCAACTTCCCACTTAATGGGAAGGAACAAATGCTTTTCCCAAGACGAGGGCTGGGCAGTGATACCTGTGCTTCATTCCTATCCAACAGCATACTGAAAGCTCTAACTGGTACAAAGGTGGATGGGTGGATGGATGGTGGATGGATGGTAGATGGATGGATGGTGGGGTAGGTGAGTAGGTGGATGGATAGGTGAGAAGATGTGGATGAATGACTGAGTGGATGGATGGATGGATGGATGGATGGATGGATGGATGGATGGATGGGTATGGATAGATGGATAAATATCTTGCAATATATAGAAAAGCTAGAATTAATAAGTAAATTAGCAGGGTTATCAGATGTAAGATCAACACGTAAAAATAAACCATATTTCTGTATTCTAGTGATAATTTGTTAGAAATTGAAATTTTAAGAAGCCTGGTGTGGTGGCTCATACCTGTAAGTAATCCCAGTATTTGGAGGCTGAGGTGGGAAGGTTACCATGAGTTTGATGCTAGCCTGTGCTGAAGAGTGAAGCTGTCTCAAAGAGAAAAGAAAAATAACCAAACAGTTGCTAGCTCTGAAAAGAAGGAAAGCTACCAAAATACATAGATCTCCACTCTTACAACTACAAATCACTAGAAAAAGAAATCATAGGTGACCTAAATAAACAGACAGACATGCTGTATCATGGACTAGAAAGCTGTTGTCGTCATGCATCCCAAAAAGCCAGCAAGAGTTTTGTTTTGCCTTTTTTTTTTTTTTTTTTTTTTTTGAGACAGAGTTTCCCTGTGTAGCCCTGGCTATCCTAGAACTTACTCTGTAGACCAGGCTGGCCTGGAAATCAAAGATCTGCCTGCCTCTGCCTCTGCCTCTGCCTCCTAAGCGTTGAGATTAAAGGAGTGCACCATCACCTCCCAGCTCAGTAAGAATTTTGTTTGGGGAAAAGCTGAATCTAAAATTAGTGTGGGAAGTCAAGGTAGCTCCAGGATAGTGATGGGAGAGGTGTTTGCTGGGTAGGGTGGGAGGAAGTTTCCTTAGGGAATGGACTTTGTGTCCCTTATCATGCATGAGAATCTTAAAAGTTGTTTTTCACGTCTGGCCACTTTAGATCTGCGAAGCCCTGGGCTCATTGTCACTCCTGTTCTGAACCACTGAACGCTGCTCCCCCAGCCCTAGTTCATACTGGAATCCAATACCTAACAAGATTGTTAAGAGGCAGAGCCTTAGCAGGGTGAGGTGGT